GAGACCACTGGGGAGACCTAGACGTAGATGGGATGATAATCTCAGGCGGGATCTATGGGAGATAGGAGTTGAAGGAAACTGGATTTTGTTTGCCCAGGACAGGGTCCGGTGGAGGGCTTTGGTTAATTCGGTGATGAACCTTCGGGTTCGGTAAGCCATCTAGTTAGTTAGTTAGTTAGTTAGTTTAGTCAGATGTTTATCAGATATCAAAATAATGTTTTCTTCCAGATTTTATTGTATTTTAATATCGTATTCGAAGTTGTTCTGTATATGTACGTCGTGCTTAACATGATTTTGTGTGGGTGAACGTTTTTGTTGTTGTTTTTGTATCAGCCTGTAAAGTAAATAAGTAAGTAAGTAATTTACTTTACAGGCTGTTAATTATGGTAATATTTTAATATTTAATAGGAATTTTATTGTGATTAGACTGACAAGATTTAAACAAACAAATATAAAATCTAACCTAATCTAATCTAACCTAACTTAACCCAACCTAACCTAATCTAACCGAACCTAACCTCTTAGACATGAGGAGTCTGGCAGAGACCTTATGAGGCAGAGAACGTGTCTGACGGAGACCGGTTGAAGCACAGATCGGGTAAGACAGATCGTGATTCTGTTAGATCGGTTTTGGCAGAGACCGGTTCTTCTATGTATCTAGCAGTGAAAATTATTTAAAAAAATTCATATCTATGAAAACTTTTGAAAAATAAAAAATGCCGGAAATTGTCTGAAAAGCGCACAAAACCATAATTTTTCGAAATTTTTGTAAACATTTTCGAAATTTTTGTAAAAATTTTGAATGTAAAATTTTCCTTTTTGGGGTTTTGTGCGCGTTTTGGACAATTTACAGCGTTTTTTTATTTTTTAAAATTTGGAAATTTTTCCAAAAATTCTCCCCACCCGATCGTTGTCGGCATAGTGCTCTGCCTCATCCGGTCATTGACGTAACCTGTCTTTGATGGACCCTGTCTCAGTAAGGTCCGATCTCTGTATGACACTGTCTCTGGCCTAACCTAACCTAACCTAACCGAACATACCTAACATAACCAAAATTAACATAACCTAAACTAACGCTCTTCTTAGGAAATCCATTTCCATTATTTTCAACTTCTTTTTTTGTTGTTCCGAAAGTTGCCAAATTTCTGCTCCATATAGAGCCCCGCTTTGTATCATCGTTTTATATATTCTCACTTTCGTTCTTTTTGTGATATTTTTGTCCCATAATATTGGGTTGAGGGCTCCTATGAGTCTCCTTCCTTGTTTTATTCTTTCCATGAGGAGTTGCTGGTCTCCCATCGGGCGCCTCCCCACGTGGCGGATAGGGGAATGCTCACCTGAAATGGAGGGTACCGGGGAAATAAAATACCCGGGGCGGACCAAAACCAGACGCTGCTGCCTTGTAGTGATAGAAGTTGGTTCTTCAAAGGCTAGGGGAAGAACACCCTGAAAAAAATCACCTGGTCCTCCAGGTTGGGGGTTGACGCGGTGGGCCAGCTCCTCACCCGTCGGAAAAACCACAATGCTAAAAAGCCTAACTTCGAAATTATATTTTGTACATTATTTCACCCTCATTTCTTCATAACCGTACTTATCAGATTGATTATTCTCATGTCACATTGATGTCACTGTTAGGCCAAGTTCATGACAAAGTCAAGACAAGATAGCTCCAATAGTTTTCCAGATAGGGGTCTTCAAAATTCTCAAGGTCATAACTTTCACGCTTATTTCTACCAAACCGTAAATACCTGAGTGACCATACTCATGTCATAATGGGGTTACGTATAGGTCAAGGTCATATGGAAGCCACGATAACATCGGCCCAAAAGTTTCCCAGATACGGTTTCAAGGTCATATCTTCTCACGATTATTTCCGCCAAACCTTAAATACCTGGTCGACTATACTGATGTCACAATGAGGTCAAATTGTTAGGCCAAGGTCATGACAAGATCGCCCCAGTATATTGCAAAATAGAGGTCTTTAAAATTCTGAAGGTCATATGTTTCAAGCTTATTTCTGCCAAACCGTAAATACCTGATTGACCATACTCATGTTAAAATGAGGTCACGTATAGGTCAAGGTAATATGGAAGCCTCGATAAAATCGGTCGAATAGTTTCCTAGATACGGGTCTTAAAAATTCACAAGGTCATATCTTCTCATGTCACAATGAGGTCAGGTATAGGTCAAGGTCATATGGAGGTCACGAGGAAATGGGCCCTCTACTTTCCTAGATATGGGTCTTTAAATTTCTCAAGGTCATATTTTTTAACGCTTATTTCTGCCAAACCGTGAATACGTGGTTGGCCATACTCATGTTAAAATGAGATCACGTATAGGTCAACGTCGTATGGAAGTCACGACAAAATCGGTCCACTAGTTTCCTAGATAGACGTCCTTAAATTTCTCAGCGTCATATCTTCTCACGCTTATTTCTGCAAAACCTTAAATACCTGGTTGACCATACTCATGTCGAAATGAGGTCACGAATAGGTCATGGTCACATGGAAGGCACTACAAAATCGACCCACTACTTTCCTAGATACGTGTCTTTAAAATTCTCAGGGTCATATCTTTTAATGTTTATTTCCGCCAAACCGTAAATACCTGGTTGACCATACTCATGTCGAAATGAGGTCACGAATAGGTCATGGTCACATGGAAGGCACTACAAAATCGACCCACTACTTTCCTAGATACGTGTCTTTAAAATTCTCAGGGTCATATCTTTTAATGTTTATTTCCGCCAAACCGTAAATACCTGGTTGACCATACTCATGTTAAAATGAGGTCACGGATAGGCCAAATTCATGTGAAGACCACAACAAGATCAAGGAAACTGTTTGAGAAATATTGGCCTCAAACTTTTAAAGGTCATTCGAAATAAAATTTTGTCACGCATATACAAAGATAACTGTAGGACATGAACTTGGCCTAACAGTGACATCAATGTGACAAGAGAATAATCACTCTGATAACTACGGTTATGAAGATGTGAGGGCGAAATAATGTACATTGGTCCCCAACGCGGTGCGGGCGGGCGCCATGGCTTTTTTTTTGGCACCCGCGTTGACACGGAAAGATGTTATACTGAATAATTAAGGTCGTTCAACCACGAACATTATAAAATCAAAGCACAGATCTCGACGTACTGACGCCCATCTTGACGATTGTTTGCGAGCAGCAACATCATCTTACACCCCCAAATTCGAAAAACTGGCCGATGAAATGCAGCGCCAAACATCACACTAACGTCCCACTTGAGTAATAATAATTGTACTTATGAAAGTACGTACTTTTGATTGCGTGGTTTCTTGTATTATTAAACGTCGTGTTATTTTGTGTATTATTTGGTGTCCATATCTTATTTGTTCAGAGAAAAGAATTTGGCTTTGTTAATTGGTTGGTGCCCGCCACGATCTCATAAACTCTCAAATGTGCCCGTAGGCACAAAAAGGTTGGGGACCACTGGTTTAGTATCACAGCTCAAACAAGTCGTGTCGGATCTAATTCTGTGATCAGTTTAAGTCGGGCGTAAATGTCTACAAGCTTAGTGACACGTCGAGTTGCGATGAGTATACATCCATGTAATACGTTAACGATAAAGCATTTTGAAGCCCTTGGCAGCTTTTACCATATACGGTGCAGCGTCCGTTACAGAGGAGGATATCGTCTCGCTTAACGTCTCCTTTCCACAAGAGTTTCATGGCGTTAACTAAAAGTACAGCGATAGAGGTGTGGTTTACTGTGTCAAGGAGGAATTTGACACCAGGACGGTCAGCAGAGAGCGCGCCAATTGCGACATTCGCTACATATCTGCCATAGATAACCGTTGTTTCATTAACCGAAACCCAAATCTTATTGTCGCCCACAGTACATGTAATTCTTTTTTTTAGAACATCTTCATAATAGGCAGGTACATAGTTTTTTTCGCAGTGTTGATTCGTCTGAAATTAACTGAGTCGTGTATTTCTCCAATAAAAATTTGAACTGCTCATTGTTCACTTTGTTCAGTTGGCAGACGCCATCATTTCACACAGGTCCTTTGAAAATTCCGACGTTTTGTTTGATGGTGAAGTTGTTGCAGTGTTATCGAACAGAAGTCGTTGCTCGCTCTCATGACTGGTTTGTCGGCTCAAATTATTTTCATGTTTTGCCATATCACAATGTTGTTGCACATTAAATCGCTTACCAGCTGTAACTTAAAACTTCACAAAGTTTACAGAACATAATTGTTCCATCAGAACTAAAATATTGGATTAATTGTGTTAATAATGGGAATGTTGCAGTTTTCCCAACTGTTTTTGAACTTACTGAACAAAATTAAGTTAGCGTTACTGATGGCGTTTTGGAAATAATCAAATGCCACTTGGAAAATCTCAGGATACAATTTTTGAAATACTTTCCAGAAATTGAGAGAGAAGACAATACCCAAGATTGGATTACAAACCCTTTTTATACCACCGCCATCAATTCTTCTGATCTTCCTTTAAAGGAAAACCTGCTGGAAATGTTCGTTGACGGTTCACTGAAAATAAAATTCGAAATTATGTCAATCTGCGACTTTTAGATTACTGCTCGCAAAGAGTTCAAGGAGCTTAGTGACGCTGCTATTTCACACCTCCTACCATTCCCATCAACGTATTTGCGTGAGCAAGGCTTCTCCGCACTGACATCAATCAAAACAAAACGCAGGAACCGTTTGAACCCAGAACCATCTCTGATCCTCGCACTCACGAAGATTCGTGAATTGTGACTTTCGTTATGGCGAATGTTCGTAAATTGAGCGTTCGTAAACCGAGAGTTGCCTGAACATCGAAATGAGGAGTGCTGATATAATTTACATGTTGTTTGATGAATAAATGAAAATTCGTATATAAAAATTATTTTTAATACATAAAATAAATGTTAAAATAGACACAATCTCCAGAGTCTACATTACAAAGAATAAATCTTACTATTTCTTCTGTAAGAGTAAACCTCTGTTCATATGAAGTTTAATGTAGACTGGTGCAATTCTGAGTCTTCCATATTTCATTAATGTATTGATACATCCAAATTTTCTTTCAGCTCTAAAGTCCTTATGAAATGTCTATTACAGTGCTGTAATAATAGTGGCTCTGTAAAATACCACCCCTGAAACATATGTCATATTATGAATTAAGTTATGCTTTGAAGTTTGTTTGTACATTTCAAAAAAGCCTACAAATCTGTTAAGAGAGAAATGTTATACAATATTCTCATTGAATTTGGTATACCAAAGAAGCTAGTGAGTCTAATAAAAATGTGCTTAAATGACACCTGTAGCAAAATTCATAAAGGTAAATATTTATCAGACTCATTTTCCATCAAGAATGGTCTGAAAGAAAGATATGCTTTGTCTCCCTTGCTCTTTAACTTTGCGCTAGAATATGTCATCAGGAAAGTTCAAGATAGGCAGGAGGGTTTGCAATTGAATGGGACACATCGGCTGTTGGCATATGCTGATGATGTTAATTTATTGGGTGATGATATAAATATGATAAAGAGGAACACACAAGTTTTAGTGGAAGCTATTAGAAAGGTTGGCCTAGAAATAAATTCAGAAAAAACTAAGTACACGTTCAGAGTCGTCAGCAGGCAGGCGGGCAGAATTATCTTACGGTGGCTAATAAATCCTTTGAAAGTATTACAAAGTTCAAATATTTGGGAACAACAATAACAAAACAAAATTATATTCATGAGGAAGTTAGGAAGAGACTAAATTCCGGAAATGCTTCCTACATCTCAGTTCAAAATATTTTGTCTTCCTGTCTGATTTCTAAGAACCTGAAAATTAAAGTATACAAAACAATAATTTTGCCTGTTATTTTGTATGGGTGTGAAACATGGTCTCTCACTCTGAGGGAGGAACACAGATTGCTGGTGTTTGAGAATAAAGTGTTGAGGAGGATATTTGAGCCTAAGAGGGAAGACAATGGGGCGTGGAGGAAACTGCATAATGATGAGCTTAAAAATCTGCACTCCTCCCCCAGTATTGTCTGATGATTAAGTCGAGAAGAATGAGATAGGCTGGGCATGTAGCGCGCATGGATGGGACAAGAGGTGTGCACCAGGTATTGGTCAGGAAGCCTGAAGGGAAGAGACCTCTGGGGGAGTTCCAGACGTAGATGGGTGGATAATATCAAGCAGGATTTGTGGGAGATAGGAGTTGAAGGAAACTGGATTTTGTTGCCCCGGGACAGCGTCCAGTGGAGGGCTTTGGTTAATTCAGTGATGAACCTTCAGGTTCCCTAAGCCAGCTAGTTAGTTCGTTCGAAGTTTGTCATGAAAACAGAAATCCTTTGACAACTGCCAGGGCTACTTTCTTGAAAAGCAATGTGACTGGCAAAACTTGTCTAAATAATATTTTAAAATTCACTTCCTACAATAATATAAACACAATGCATCTCCATTACAAGTATCAGTTAGTATGCTGTTTAAGGAAATTACTGATGTTTATTATCAGAATCATATACGAGGTGCGATCGGAAAGTTTCCAGACTGCGCCTATAAAAACCCGTACACTTATCTCAGATATTAAATTCATCCATCACCCTCGAAGTAGTTCCCCTGGGAGTGAACACAACGTTCCCAGCGCCGCTGCCAAGCCTGGAAGCATCCCTGGAAATCTTTCTTTGTCAGCCTGTCAAGCACCATCTGCGATTCTGCCTGAATCTCTTCTATCGTCTCAAATCTCCTTCCCTTTAGCTGAATTTTCATCTTTGGGAAGAGGAAGAAGTCACACGGAGCTTAGAAAGGAAGTTGGGGTCGGTTCTTGCAAGATCTTTGAGCTCCTGACAAACGAGAAGTCGATTCTGCTTCTGGTCCTCAGACAGGTTGCGTCGCATGTGGAGTTCTTCCTTTAGAATTAGCTGACAGGTCCCATAGCCTATCCCAGCAATGTCGCACAAGTCGTTGATGGTACGACGTCGATCTTCGTGAATGGCCTGCCGAATCTTCGTAACATTTTCGGGCGTTGTGCTCGAAGATGGTCGTCCAGAACGCTCGTCATCATGGACAGAGGTTCGGCCATTTTTAAAACATGAATGCCACATAAAAGTTTGTGAACTACCCATTGCGGACTCCCCAAATGCTTGCTTTAGCATTTCATAGGTTTCCGTAGCCGTTTTGGCGAGTCTTTGGCAAAATTTGATGCACACGCCATTCCGAAATCGCAGGAGGGTCGGTGTAATGCACTACCAAAACGCCCGTAACTAAGAAACAAATGCTAATTCGATTATGCCGGCTGGCACACTGATTCACTATGAATGTAGGCCGCACCACCTAGCGGCAGAAGCTCGTACTACATACGGTTCGTCCTCTATTGACACAGTCTTGAAACTTTTCGATCGCACCTCGTAAAAACCACAAATACATTATGTGGGGGAAAATGCGTAGTTAATGACTGTTCAGATACAATGAGTTGATTAAAACAATAATTAATCCTTATAAAAGGCTAGTTACCTCTCATATGGAATAACAAATGAAATAAACAAAACTCACCTGATGGATTTACTCGAATGCTTAGAATTGAGTCTGGTTTTAAGATTTCCGGAGGGCTTTCTGGATCATATAAGTCCTGTAAAATGTTTATTTCATAAATATTATGTCATTCACACGTTATCTGCCAGCACATTATAATTAGATATATCCTTACCTGGAAGTTATATCCCTGTGCACTGGTAAGCCCTATTTCAGCAAGGTTCACAGAGATAAGATAAGGATATCCATCTATTCGATGACTTACGAAAGCCACAGCATATGAATATTTATCACCTAACAAAGGGCTGATAGGACGAGTCCAGATTTCAATCCCTGCTGACTGAAATGGAAACCGACAGTCTCTCTGTGATTCCGACATTGATGTCCATTGTTATTACAGTTACATTTAGCAAAGGTATGTATGTACAAGTCGGGCGAGAAGTGCTAGCACATGCGCAAAGGACTAATTTTGGTCGTATGAGATGGACCCGTCTGAAACACACGCTAGAGGGGTGTCAGCCTCAGTTGGTTTGTAGCTCTAGCTGTGTTTAGTTCGGTGTGTCACCGCAGCTGAGGCTGTGAGGCCCCCCGAACTCCCCTCTCTCGGCTTACACATCGCGTACCACTGCTCGCGCGACCTTTACAATATGTATTCTATATTTTATAACTTCAGATGAACAGAAATATGTCAAGCAGATCTGAATTTCAAGCTAATTGACTCAATTGTAAGAAAAAACTGTGTACTGTAAAGTAAATGAGAAAATATACAGTCCTATGTTGAGAGGTGAATATCATTCAGAGAGGATAGAAATGTTATTTTGTTTGTATGAATATCCATTTGAAAAACGTGTCAATACTTTTGATTCTCTGAAAATAAAATATTTCAAATATTGGAATTGTGAAATCAATTTCCCAGTTCACAAAATAAAATGTATCAATAAGACGATTACACTGTTAATGCGATGTCCCTGGATGCCCAGTGCATCTTGATTGACAGCGAGAATATCCTTGTTTTGTAGGATTGCTTTGTATTCAGGTTTGATATCTCTGAGCTCCGTAGAGATGAGCAATGGAGCAGCCAGGATTGCCCAGATGGCCATTTGCACTTTACTCTGGTCGTAACTCAGTCCATAGTTCCCAATAATTAGCTGAAAGTGCATCACCAATTATTAAGATAAGCTCAAGCACAAACTTGTTAAATAAATGGGCTGAGAAGTATTTCAGTACCCACTTCAGAGTCCAGAATTAGCATCCAGTGATTCTGATTGATATATATGGTCCACTAGAGGAATTGTGGGAATTCAGATAATAAAGCACCACGAAAATGTCCAGCAGAATGTCCGTCACCTCCTCTGACTGTTTACATAACTTGTGTAGTGTAACATTTTTCAGGTCTCTGAAGAAGGCTCTCAATGGCCTTCTACTAGAAAAGCATCCACGATCAGTGACTCAGTGGAATAAAATGTCTCAGTTGATGAAAGACTCTCGGGTTATGAGCCACGTCAGGTGGCTGAATGGTGAATAAACCACGTCTTCTGCCAAGCACCATGCTATTACCTGCCAGCGAGCACGCTACAAAGGACCAGATTTGTTATGCAACAACCCTGAGGGTGAGAGCAGAGATTTCTCTCGAAACACTGGCAGAAGATATACAGTGAAACCTCTATCCATCGTTCCCGGAACTATCGTTTTCCCGGATGCATCGTCCGTTTTGTTCGGTCCCGAATACATCCCATATAAAATAATGTTACATTTTCCCGCTTCTATCGTTCCTCGAACTATCGTTTTATCGCATCGATCGTTCAAAAATCGTAGTCCCGGCCCACAATTTTCCCGCAATGATCGTTCCTGAGAATTTAAAATGCTGGGTTTAGAGATAAATTAATACCGAAAGACGCACAATGTTTTTGGAATAAACAGTAGCGGTAACCTGTTATGTCGCCCAACCAGCACATTCTTTTGGAATGAGGGTCAGCGGTGCAGGGGTGATAGTTGGAGTGAATGGCGGTGCCCATTGTCAGAAATTTTACGATTTTAATTAGGGTGCACTCATATTTCGTTCCAGCGATGCCAGATGGCATGTGCAGTGTGAATTTCTTCACAAATGCTTTTATTACAAGGACAAAGGAAAGGCAATATTAGTGAACGTGACGAGGAAAACATTTTGAACGTGGAAAGTGCTCTGTTTGGTCTAAAACGTAAAGTTTCGACAAACCAGTTGACCATTAAAGACTTTTTTGGTACAAAGAAGTAACTTTGAAAGAGAAACATCGTTTTTTTTTAAAATTTTAATGCTTTCCCGCATTCATCGTTTTTATTTCCCACCCCCTTCGAAAACGATGCATCGAGGTTTCACTGTAGTTTATTCACCATTCAGCCACCTGACACGGTTCATGGCCTGAGAATCTTTCAACTTCAGTCGCCGCGAAAGCTTCATTTTATACATGTCTCAGTGTTATGTGGATTTAATGTGACTGAGGCTAATAGTTTATGAGCTTCCTTACAAAAATAGGAAATTAGTTACAATTGTAACAGAATGTTATATAACATCTGTTATATAAAACTAAACTTTGAACACAATTGCGATATGTCACTGTCTTTTCCCTTCTCAGATTCCTTTACGTTGGTCATTTTTTTATGACATAACTAATAAAATATGTTTAAAAGAAATGACATTATAAGAGGGACACCTGAAAAATTGGGCTACAGTAGATTTATAACTGTAGGATATGTGTTTTATAAAGATTATAATTCAACATACCATATCAGGATCGTTCCAGTGTCCAGGACCAGCGTGATCAGCAATCCTGTCCTGTCTTTCTGCAAAATAGTCCATGATAATTTCTACTTCTTCCCATGAATCATCAATATCCACATAGTTGCGCCACAAGTTGCAATTCTCCTTCAAGGACTCAAAATCAGGCTGCAGTAAACATGAAGTTTCCATGTACCATACACATAACCAAAAGCGTAACAGTATTGTAATAACAATAACAATTCTTCATATACATTGGTTTACATATGTAGGATTTGAGGTTTTCAAAGTAGTGAGTATGAAGATTTCTGTCTTCTGGGTTGTTGCACCGTGTAGTATGGTAGGGCCGAGGCCCCGATCTGTGTTCCCTTCCACCCTCCACCCAACTCCCAATGTCTGGTGCCTTACCAGATACACTCCCTGAGCCCCTCACAAGGGGGCTGTTTCTTTGACCCCCCTCTCTCTCACATACCCCACAACACGCCCGCGCTCTCCTACTGGTCCCCACTCACGCCTGATTTGACACCAGCTCCCATTGGCTAGGATTTGGCTACTCCATTCACTGTCCAATCCCTATAAACCGAGCCCTTTCCACTCGAATGGCTCATTCATCCCCCTGATGGCAGAGGCAGTATGACCTCTGAAACGTTGGTGGCCATCTACCATACTACACAGCACAATAACCCAGAAGACAGCAATCTTCACTGGTTTACATCTTTCAGATTGCTTCACTCAGGCTGATATGTGGAAGCACATAGTTAAATTAATTCTATTTACAACCAAAGAGACACATACCTCAATGCCTGCAAACTCTTGATACACTGGCCAACTGCAGGAGTAAACCATGGGACGCCCAGTCTGGTTCAGGTACTGTCCGAACAGTGGGTAGCCTGTGCAACATACTTATTCTGTTTGTATACATACTTTTTAATTACTTTACATTTTATTCAAATATAAGTAAGAATAAAAAGTTGATATTAACCCTTAACCAATGATATGCAGTCTGAGAGAATGCAGCAGAAGAAATTTCCAGAGAAAATGGCTTACAGTCCTCTTCTTGTCTTTTCTTTATATGTCTACTCGTATTTCCACCCCTTTATTGGTCGTTCAATGCCATTTGTAACATGAAATTTAGCCTGGTGAAGGAGGCCTGGGAGACGGCACGTCACTGGTAACGCAAGTTTTTAGACTTGGCAGCTATCGTCAAAACCATGAGAAAGTGTGTTTTGTAATGGGTTATATCTTATGATCGTAATTTTGGAGAAGTGCTTGGGTACTTACAAGAAGGTTGGAGTGATGCTAGCAGTGAAAGTGGGTGTACAATTAAAAGTGACCACAACAGGAAATGTACTGAGGGAGAATGACAAAATCAAGAAGTTTACTAATTGCAGATGTTCACTCAAACAAATATATTGATCATTTCTTAATCAATTATACTAGAACATAACATAAAGCATCAAAATGTATTATTCAGTTCAAAATTTTTAATGAAAGAGTAAGAAGTATATAAAAATTTCTAATTTTAATTTTTACTTCATGCGAATCCTGCACATCCTTAGAAATGTTAAGAAAATGTACTAAGTAGTTTCTTTTAAAAGAGATATTGTGATACATACAAATGACTGATATGTAGCGGTACATTTCAAACTCTCTTGCATACCAAATTAATTTGGAATAAGGTAGGATTACCAAACCTCAATTGGTCTCTGAGACCTCATATCACTGTTAGCGATACAGAAAACCACATCACCGGTTAAGGGTTAATACCTTATATTAATGACAGCAGACCTGTATCCATGTCTTCAGGTTTTGACCAACAACCATCCAGTTTCACATAGTCTACCTCCCAGTCTGCAAACGTCTGTGCATCTGTCTGCATGTGACCCACAACACCAGGGTAACCTGCACATGTGTAAGTCCCAAAATCCTCATAGATACCAAATTTCAGCCCTCGGGAATGAACCTGCAACAAGAAACACCTTTCTCGTTAAGGTTCATCATTTGACTTTGCATAATAACAAAATTCCAGCTCAATTCTGAAAGTATGTGATGACGGTGCATTGTTGAAGCAAACCGTTTTCTGGACATTATAAACAATAAAAACCATGACATTTTTGAGATGGGAGTCTATCACTGTCTTCAGGTAAAACCTACTCTGTTGGGCCCGATCGATAGAGCTAATCCCCATCTCATGGATAATGTCCAGAAAACAGTCTGCTTCAATAAAATTCGTTTGTTGCCAAACTCATATTGTTACACATTTATCACTTATGAACCAGCATTTATTACACCAGATATGAAATTTGCAGAGTATAGCACACTACAGGGACTGATGGTGAATATTCTGAACTTTTATTTTAATGTGGCACAGTATTTTAAAACTATTATGAGGGTTCTTCCACAGAAGAGTGATTTTTTAAATAATTTCTAAGGTTTGCATAGATGTAAATTAGTTAAACTTGTCTATATGGACATATATTTAATTATAATATGTAAAGACATTTGGAAGGAAGTGTGACAGCTTTTTTTTATTGTGAAATTTATGTTTTAGTAATTGGCCTATTCTTGGGGTACTGAAGAAAATGCTTCTGGGATGTGAGTTATTTAAATTATAAAGTACTTTCCTTTTAAAATAAAAAGTTTTTAAATTTGAAATCTTTTCATAGAATTTTGAATGTTTTATTAAATTTAAGGATAGTATAATCATGGAGAAAATATGAATTAAATTGCGAAGACCTGCAATAAATCAGCTGAAAGAAATTTTAGTTTCTTGTAAATATTATGGAAGGTTGCTTTATATTACAAGACTATTTTAATAATAAAAGTTTAAAAAACAATCAGAATTTTTGTTTGCTTTCATGCACCTATGTAATCATTACATCAGCTGCCGTGAATCACTAAAACTTACAGTCGGCAGCCATGACAGGAAGAAGAGGTATATTATACACCCTTGCAATATTCACACTTGACTCAACATTGACCAAGATTCTTTCGGTTGGACAAGAATAAATTTACAATAGAGCAACAATTATTTTCATATGAATCTTGAGTGTATTAAGCTTAAATTTTCTGGGATTTGATTTCTCTGTGTATAAAAAATGTCAATAAAATATAATAACTGGTATGACAACAGAAAGTAAACCAAAATATTAACATAACACAGTGATTCTACACACAAGAAAACATCTTTATCTTCCCTGTATAAGCAAAAATTATTTAATCAATAAAGTCTTTGAAATGTGAGATATAGTAGTTTGACTCACATAGTCAGCCAGCGCCTTGATGCCGCTTGGAAATCGCTGTGGATCAGGCTGAAGTCGACCATCACTGTCTCGTTCTAAGGCTAACCAGCAGTCATCAATAATTACATACTCATATCCAACATCCGCATAGCCTTCTGACACCAGCAGATCTGCTGTACGGCGAAACAGCTGTTCACTGTTCAGAATGAAGCAACTGTTACAATTGAACATTGTTGGCTTCCTTGTTTGGTTACGTAAGTTCAATATTTTTCTCATCTTAGGTATTCTAGTGTAAAATTAAGAATCTTACGAAGAGGTCACACTACTACATATTGCCAGGTGAGTACTTTTTTTAGTTTAAGTTAATCTCATAAAATTATTTAATTTAACAGGCTCCCTGAAAAATTTCAAGCATTTACTATGAAACAATTAACAACGTCAAACTGAAAATCAGACCATAGGAATGGAGAAAAAATCTTTCACCCTACTAAAGATAAATTTGTGCTTTATTTTAAAAGCCAGACATTTTACACCACATCATAATAGTTTCTTATTCTTCCTTTACAGTGTCCAAAGTTTCTGGCATTATCATTTTCTCATAAAACAGCATAGCACCTTTGGGCTGTCTGTGATGTATTAAAAGGCGATACACAGACAGTCACTTACCACATCCTAGAACTTTACCATGTCTGTTCACTTTCCACGAAGACGAAATATTGTCTCATCACTATAAAAACTGAGCAGTTGTCTAATTGTTTGGTCAGCCAAACATACCCCATTTTGTTTCCAGTGTATTTACTGCATATAATCACTTTTCCTATGTTAGGAAATGTTACTGTGACATGTTACAAATGTAATGAGAAAGAACGCCACAGAAAAACAGAGCACATATTAACTGCACTAGGTTACCTTTTTGTTACTGTAGCCTGATGAACAATTATTTATTGCTAGATGTTTCGCGATAAGTGTTTCAAATTGCCCAAATACGCTTTAATCACTCTGTTTAAGTACATATATTTTAACTTAAATAAATATGGGCTTACACTGAACTTAAAAAAAAATATATTAAAATTATAAAATTTAAACTGTTCGCTATAAATATTATATTTTATCTGAGCATAGAATAATACAGTGAAAAACATTATAACTTGTAGAAATAAGGCTATTATGATTATGAAACACTAAAGTGACAAGACCACAATATATATTTAGGTACTAATCATGTTTAAAGTCAAATAGCTTGTTTGGTATTAGATATGGTACGAATAAGCAGAATGTATATGTGCGTGGGAAGTCATTTCTCTCCTAATGGGGGATTTTTTGTAGTGCTCTTTAATTTTAGTCTCAATTTGATCAGTTTTACTTTGAATAATATGTTTTAACTTCAAACAGGCCTGATACTATAAACAAAATTCTATTGTTATATATGGTTGCACTGAATTTATATATTGTTCTACTGGTTATAAAAAGGTTAAAATCCTGAACGTTATTAACAAACACCTTTATCAGTCCAGAAGATGTTTCTATTATTCATGTCAAAAATTCCGCAGAATATTTGAGATTGTAACAGATCACTTAGTTGCATTCTCATCCATCTGTAATCACTTCACAATCCTTTTCAGTTCATCTCATTTCTTACTGCTCTATTTTACATAGAAGGTGACAGCTAGTATCCTTATTTTCAAATAAATATTCCAATTAAAGTATAATCAGAATCAATGTATACATTTTTATCACATGAATCGCCACACTGTTTATAATTATACTCAAATTGAATTACCTGATACAGTCATCTGGATATGCCACACAATCAACTATACAACGGTACCTCTCCCAGGCAAGCCACCCCATTGGTGGTGTAAGGGCTAGCCCATTGTCCAGAGCTAAAGCTGTTGCCAAAATACTCACCGCAATGACACAAACCCTTAGCATCATTGTCACATACCTGCACAGAAAAAAATTAAAATTACTGGATTTAATATAGGTGGTGTCTACTTTCCAATTTGTTACCCATTTTACAAATATCAAAGTGCAGACTTGTACAGAGTGATCAAAGTCACATAACCCATGTTAACGTACAGTGTCCCAAAAAGATATATCCACATTATAACATGGAATATTAACCTTGTTGAAGATTGCTGTCTTCTTGGTTGTTGAGCTGTGTAGTCTGGTAATGTTTACCGACGTTTCAGAGGTCCTTTCTGCCTCCATCATCAGGGCAATTGGAACCTCTCTGTCTTTCCTTCTCTCCTCCTCCCTTGCACACGCTGTGACATGCCCACACACTCCTATTGGTTCACATGCCCTCGCCTGATTCTGACACCAGTTCCAATTGATTAGGATTTGGCTACTCCTAAACTGTCCTGTCCATATAACTCTGGCACTTTCCACTCGCATGGCTTATTCTTCGCCCTGATGTTGGAAGCAGCAAGGACCTCTGAACGTCAGTAAACATCTACATGGTGCAACAACCCAGAAGACAGCAATCTTCAGATTCACCGTCGTGAAAACCTCAAATCCTACATTAACCTTGTTATTGATCTCCATGTGCTGTGTTTACAATGAGAACCTAGTGTGGTCCCAACTGAGTTCACTGAATGTGTATACATAATTTTGTAACATCCTGTATTTACTAGTGGTTGCAATTCAACACAATTTTATTGGATTAATAAACATAAAATATTGCTGTGACTTTAAAAGAGCCCACACAGGTCATGTCATGTTGTAATCTGCTTGTACCAGTCAGTTGTCTTTCAACAGGCAAAGTACAAGGATGTCTCTTTCAGAAGCGCAACAGGAGTTCATTGTCAAACACTACGTGGCATCTCCTTCTTACTTAACATGCCAGAATGAGTTTAGTGATATATTTTCTGATTTTCCTGCACCAAACGAATCAACAATATCTCATCTGGAGAACTGTTTCTGTCACTGCAGACACCCTTCACCAGGCTGCACGAAACGCGATGAAAAGAGTGACTGTATGCATTGCTGAATGTGGTGGCCATTACCAACACTCAACCTAACATTGTTTCTTTGATGAAAGACTCAAGTTACAAGCCGTGCCATGTGGCAGAGGACCAGATTTGTTACGCAGCAGCCCTGAGGATGAGAGCAGAGATTGCTCTCGAAACATTGGCGGTAGATATGGTTTATTCACCATTTAGCCACATGATGCGGCAAGTAACCCAAGAGTCTTTCAACTTTAGTCGCCGCGGAAGCTTCACTTTATACATTGTATTTCTGCTTTCTGATTTTAATGTGACTTGTATTTTGGCAGAAGAACATGCATCTGAGATAGGTTACATGACTTTTTTTATCACTATGTACTTCATATTATACCATTTAAACAGCTTTTTGAAACAGAACTCATCTCTCTATTCCCAATAAAATATATGTTCAACAAAAAATGTTTGGGTGATCAGCTGATGTTTCATCATTTAACCATCTGACACAGCTGATCACACAAGAAAATTTTATTGAGTTACGTCACCACAAAAGCTTAAAATAATATATAATATATGTTCTTTAGATATTAAAAATCTCCTTTTCTGTCAAATACCTACAATGTAAGCTCTTCCCACAGAGCAAAAGATTACATTTTAATCACATAAAACAGGTGTAACCAACGTCATCCAGCAGAGCGTTCCTTAAAGTTGATAGTTACTAAGGTGGTCAAGCCCCCTTTTATGAAACCAAAAGGTTCATTACTATATTCACAATCACTATCAATGAACCTTATTGTGCCAGTTCAGTCCAGTTCTTATCTTTGCATCTTACTTCAACAAAATCTATTTAAATATTATCCATGTATGCTTTAGTTATCCTTGAGGTTTCCCAACCAAAATTTTGTATGCAGTTCTCACAACTTATCCATCCTACCATCCTAACAACATTAAATGAGGCGTACAAATGATGATGCATATACACGCATATGATTTGAAAATCAGCAGTTTTTAACATGATAATAAGAAGCATATCATGACTATACTCTTCCTATCTTTCATCATTAACACAATTTTTGTGTTTCACTGTCATTTGTGATAGAAAATGTTAAAATGCAGTTACTGAATAATTATCATGCAAACAGGTCTTGAATGCACGCGACTCACAGACCATACCGGTGGCCACTGGACAAGCAAACCATTCAAACTGCCAGATTTGCAATTCACATGCTATTTACAACTTATATGTAATCACTGACACACTGTAACTGTGCAAGAAATTTTCCAATATCTCCTGCACAGCGAAATTTTAACAACATCGTTTCTTTTCTCAGGGATCCTGCCCCGTCACTCAACAGACTATTCAACATGATAACCTTGTTGATTCTCAGTTGTTCTCAGCGTTAATGTTACCACACACTACTGTTCCTAGTTATGAAGCCAGAACTAGGGAACTCATTAACTTTTTTCACACCCAACCAACTACTTGCATACATCCCTTCTTCATGCCTGACTCAATCACACACAGACAAACTAACAAACCAATCTTCAGTTATTAGAACTGTCATCACTAGAAGAAAATTATTTTTCTACTATTGAATGTAAGCCCTCTAAATCCAATTAATTTCACCAAACTCTGTTTTCTTACAGTCTATTTTAATATCAACAGCAAAATTCTGTATGTGCAGCCTCTTTCTTTATTATAACAAACTTTATGACATTATGAAGCCTAAAAATATAAATTATTTATTATTGAAACATGGGTCTAAAGCCCCTTACAGTGAATTCCTACTTAGTTACACTACCAGCAACTCTTTTTTTAAAAAATAAGATGACTTTCAGAGTCTTTACAAAACACTTATCAACAACAACATACCCACAAGATGTACAGAGAAGAAGAAATTACATTTTGGATACACAAAGCCTATTTATACCATTTTCTGGTATCTTAAAGTTCCTTGCACTGTTTCAACATAACTTCTTTTAACCTGAAGAAAACAGGTCAAGAGATTGATTTGTTATCATCTGATGAAGAGAACACTTTCAATGTAAATATATTGCAAAGTCTCATCAGTACAATTAAGTCAGATAAATCAATTGTTGTTATCATCACTTACATCATTTATATATGATCCAGTGGTCTTCTGGTTTGTGACACTGAGTGGTCTTGTAAGTGCTTATCTATGTTTCGGAGAAATATATCACCTCCATCTTCACAGTTCAGCCTCAAAGCTCAGTACAAGTAGCATTATACGACCATATTATATTAATATACAGGTAGGCCCCACTTTACGACGCTTAATTTTACACTGTTTCACATTAACACTCTTTTAAAATAATAATAAACAAATAAAAAATCGGAAGAAAATTTGAAAATGCAAGCGTAAACGCGGCACAGGAAGTGGGAGCCTAGGCGGTGCTAGTGTCAGCATCAGTTGCTTTCTCCTCATCTGCCAGTACAATACATTATAATTCTTCCTCGATTTACGCCGCTTCAGCTAACGACCATGAGGAGGTGGAAAGTAACCCCGGCGTAAATCAGGGCCTATTTGTATTGTCAAATAACAACAGAAGTTAGGGACCAGTGTTAGAGAATTTGTATTTTTATTGTTTGTGATTTACTGTATTAAAACCTTTGGCAGGAGAGCAAGTCTCATAGTTGAGCTTTCAGAATTTTCTCCAATTCCTCTAAACAAACGCAAATATTTTTCTGTAACATATCGGCTATAACAGCTTCCTTCTAACTTCTTCCAAATTCAACGTTCATAATCTTCCAGTTATTACAGATCACTCTTGGTGCCTATTTGCCTCATATATTTTTTCTACAATGCAATATTATACAGAAAGAGGGTACAAAGATGGCTGTCTTCTGGGTTGTAGTGATGGCACATGCCCCTGATGATGGAAGCAGCAAGGTCCTCTGAAACGCTGGCAAACTTCTATCAGATTACATGGCACTACAATCAGTCTAGGTTTGTGTAACATCTTAGCTTTGAAGGTATTGCCATCCTCTTCCCTTCAAGTTTACACTATTTTGTGACCCTTCATTGAGCCCGTACATACAGGCATGGAATGTAAGCCTGGACAAGGTGGCTAATAGCACCTGTGATGGGCTGGTTGATGCTTTTTATCTGATATTTTCTACTGAGTTTCAGTGTATGGAGTACCACCGAATCAGAAAATTGACTTTATTTTTCATTTTAAAAGTGTCAGCTGAGCTGGGCTAACATGGGTAACATAAAGCCTCTGCCCCTGAAACACTTCCTTGTCACAAAACCCAGCTCTGTGATCAGGATCATCTTCAGCCAATGCGTGTAACAGCCTTAAGGCACATACCACTTCCTGCTAACAGTTTTTAAAATCTACCATCTTTCTTGCATGTTGCCTTACAGATTTTTTAGATGATCGTGTGAATTACTGTAACACTGCAGCAGAATTTTCCCAACTTGTTGATGAGTGAGGTCTCCCCGATAATTTATTTTATGTGTCTTTATCACAGCTTCCTGAAACTGTTTGTCATGTTGATGGCTCAGTTGAATATTTGAGTCTCCACTGTCTTTGCACTTTACACAAATTCTCTGATTTCCAGTATCACTTCAACATTAATTTGCATTACTCTAAAGTTAACCTCTACCACTTTGTATTATGCTAACACATGGGTACATATTACAGTTTTTAATTGTGACTAACACCATCTGTTAACTGCAAACCACACTATTTAGAGACATCTTAAATTTATAGTATGAAGATGCACTATTAGAAATTATGCATAAAATAAGTAAAAAACAAAAATTATTACTGCTGCTGCATAGAGGTGGAAGTATTTAAAATGAAGTATATTTTCACTAGTTCTTCCTAGAACTTACCTGTGGAAGGTCTAGAATTTTTGTAATATCTCTTGGAATAATATAACAGTTTTAAAACAGTCTTTACAAACAATCATTGTGGTTTGTACTTAATGGGGTCAAGAGGTGCTCTGTTCCATCTTATCAGTATGTTGTAACTCTTCATATTCCCCATCTGATACAAATATTTTTACGACATAATAGATAAACAGCTAAAATGCTGCTTATCTCAGGTCATAACCAAAATCATTATAGGCAGTGCAGATACGTCTTAAGTACACTGGAAAGTATAATACATCTGCAAATTCCACACTTCCCACGAAATATTATTTCTCTATTGACAGCCTTCCCGTCACCACTGTACCACAGCATCCAATTCAGAGTTCTGACGCACCTCAACATCCCAGATGAACTATTTACCATATTAGGCAAAAACAGCTACATTTTATCATGAATTTTAAATTTTTTGCATAATCTTACCACTGGAATAGCAAATTCACTTTACAAATATTTTATGAACCATTCCCTAGCAGACTGAATTTCTATCTTTATCAGAAATAACAATGATACTTTCATACAGATATTTGTAAAATATCATTAACCATTTGTTGAAGTATCTCTCTGTGTGACTAGATGTCAGTTAACACTATCTGTCCCACCATAGACCTAACATAAATGAAGTTGAATCGTTATAGGCGTAAATCAAGAAACACGTTAAGAACGTGTGACTTCGTAAAGTCAGAAATAACAGCTGCTTAAGTAAAATGATTCACATTTTCTTTTATAAACATCTTTGATTACAGTTAATAGATTAAGACACATTTGAAAGCAGACCTCTGAAATGTTGGTAAACTTCTACCAGACTACACAGTGGTACAGATCAGAAGACATCCATCTACATTTCAACATATATCATATATGTTTATTGATTAGTTTAAGATATGCCCATCCAATCTCATTCTTTGTTAGTTTACCTTCCGTGTGTTTAACTTTAGATTAGCTTTATTTGTTTTTCATTTCTGCTACTGTTAATCTACAAATACAAGTACTGACCCTTTTCCATGTCCAAGTTTCTGCTGTAGACATTAATAATGGCACGTAGTAACTTTTAAACAGACATATTTTCCCCTTCTTAGGCATTTCTAAAGTAATTTCCCTCACTAATTTGTAGAATTTTCCTACATTTTATGATGTAAATTTTTCTTTAACATGTCCATTACAACATAACTATACAAATCTGAAGATTGCTGTCTTTTGAGTTGTGCCGTGCAGTCTGGTAGATGTCCACAAAACTGACATATACAAATTTATTATCAGTCTCTGAATTTCAATTTCCAAACAATGTACCTAAGGAAAATCTGTAACGTACCAGACACATCCATCGCAGAGATTGTGCCATTGCCATGAAGTTAGATGAAAACTTTCGGTGATCCTTCATCTGTCTGCAGGCTTCTTAACTTCCATGTAAAGTAGCTCCTTCAGAGATGGCAACCTGTCAACAAAGAGCGTCAACTTTAAGATTTTCAGGGCCCACACAGGAATGAAACAAGTCCAATACTGACTTTCAATTATGCTCACTTTTATGAAGATGGCTGTATACAAAGATGTTGTGCCATGTAGTCTGGCAGAAAATGACTTATTGTTTCAGAGGTGCTTACTGCCTTCATCATCATCATCATCTTCGCCTTAATGATCGAGGCAGTAAGAACCTGAGGAAATGCAAGACAGTAAAATATATTTAATATCCAACATAAAATAATTATGACACTTTCAGGCAGTAAAAGGAGTATCTACTGTAAAGAATTAATTAATTACTTTCCCTCACTAGCAAATACATACTCTCATTACAATCAATCGTTTTGGTGAAATTTCAAATAAATTAAGACATACACATTATAAATTAAAATACAAATATAAAAAGAATATATAGAATGAAATAAACAGAATATAAATATCAATAGAACATGTTAACCTAATCCTATTCAGTAGACTGAAGCAGGTAACCTGAAAATTTTAAGTCAACTAAAAATTAACAAAAGTTAATTTGCACCTACTAATGAATAAAAATCATGTGTCAAACAAAAAATGTGGTTACTTTCTCATATTATCCCCAACTGTAATATAATTCTGTTGCGATGAAGTGTTGAATGCCATACATTTCAGTTGTGCATGTAGTTGCAATAATATGGCTGTTTCTGCTGCTGGCCTCCACAGTGCTTGTCATCAGTGTCAATTTCAAGTCATTTAACATCTAATGATGTTCAAATCAATGACTGCCACAGATATTCTTTAGTAATTCAATAACTGCTCTTCACTCACTTTCAGGAGTCATTATGACATGGTGTTTTGTCAAGTGACAGACCACAGGTACATTTACAGTTAAAATGGTCAGCTACTTACCACCATTCTTTGGTCCAGTAAACAATGTCATGACTGTTACCACTTAGGGTAGGTCCCTGTACCCTGAGGACGAGGATGAAGATGGTTCTTGAAATGTTGGTATTTTCTTTATTAAACCACCTTACATGGCTGATAGCCTAAGAAGAATTTATTATACTTTGTCGCCGTGAAAGCTTCAGATCATGCAAGTAATTTCATTCTTTCTTACAGAAAATATTTTACAATGGGTCATATTCTGAATACTGAGTTCTGCTTTTAAACACTGTTATTCTAAATACACGAATATATTATTTAGGTGACAAATCCTACACCATTTGTATGTTCCTCTATAGGATTAATGAATAACAAATTACAGTGTCATTTTGCTGATGACAGCTACATTTGGGTGGCAATGACTTCAGGGAAAATTTGCCTACTTTATTCTCATTAACAACTGCTTTAATAAAGTACTAAAATTGACTGAATGCATTAACGTTCTTTACCTGCAGACACCAGAGTACCGAACAACAGTGAATGGCTCATTATCTTTATTCATATATATCCTTTAAGGTGTTGTAAAATCACTTTCTAAAACGTGACTTCAGCACAAATACTTATTGTGCAACTCTTTTGCACTCTTCCTAAACGTAGCATAGCGCTGTTACAGTTACAATCACACCGGTCAACAAAAACCACATCATTCCCGTGACGATGGAGGTGGAAAGGGTGTAGAATTTTTAGGTTATGTCCTAGAAATTTATCGTACACAACGAATTTATACGGCTGGCAATCTGTAATAGGAAAGTAGACTAGAGTTCAACACAGCGCAAAAAAAAAATAATAAAAAAAAGGTGCAAGGGCAGTAAGACATTTAGAATGTCATTGCAATGTTTAAAAGAAACCAGTATTTCTTGTGCTGCATTCGTCATGTAGTGGGATCACAGCAATTGATTGGTGCCCATGATCCATCCAGACTCCGGTAGGCACCAAAGAATAAACAGCCTTCGGCCGCAGCAAAACATATAGTACAATTCCTAGTTAATTAACTGCCTGTTTCAACACAATACAGACCTGAAACATAGAACGATATAATATACCTTGTTCGGGCCAGGATTCTAAATGACAAGACTGGAAACTGCAGTCCATACCACAACGCACTGTAACCACGTGCATTCTTCGGACATTTGTATTCTGATTGCTCCTAGTTGACGTAAAACATGACCATATCATGTACTGTGCTTTTTCATTCGAAACTTATTAAGAGGGTATATATCGTTTTGGGACACTATATTTACCTTATGTAATATTTTTTACGCCAGAGCCTTCTATAGAAATATAATTTCCTTTGTCCAGGAAAATATAGAGCACAAAGGACAAAGAAATTAAGGGTTAAAGAAAGTACGCCATATTAACTACGATACCAGTGGATCTGCCACAGCGCCAACAGGGGATAGTCATTTTTTCAATAAGGCATGTTTTCATAACGCGATTGATTTATAAGAAAGCTGTTTCCATAACGCCATCTAGTTAGTTAGTTAGTATCCATAACGTTGGTGCAAGTTGGATATAGCACGATCGAAATAAAACAAATAAAGAAAATCAGCTAATTAAACCATAAACATTGGAATGAAAAGGGATCCAATCGTTCAGACTTGGCTACGAATACACCAATAGTGAATTATTTTATCTCCTTCAACATTAGATAACATTGCAACTGAAACAGCGCCTTTAAATAAATTTCCCTTACAATAAATTTGTGCCTCCATCAGTGGTTTGTTAACTTGTCATGAAGTTCTCCCACTTTTATAGAACCTGAACGATCTTCTCTGCATTCAGAACAACCGCCATTACATAGACAGTATATATCCATCCTTGCCAGTTCATATATTCACACCTTACGACGAATTCCAAATTGCCTCTTACCTTTGCCCATTTCAATCGAATTGGCATGCATTTCTTTACTTTACGTATAACTGCTACATGTCCTACATATCTACTTCTTCTGCATGTAGTCACCATAATAATATTAAATTATGTGTACCAATTATGAAGCTACTCACATAATTTTATACTTTTCATTCGTCTCTCTTAAGTACAAATATTCTGTGTAAGACTTGAGGTTCTCACATTAGAAATTTATTTTCGAACACCTTGGTTCATGATCTTCTTTCAAAAGTGGAAGCAACTTCCACAGACATGTAAACTTGTGGGTAAAATTAGTTAATAAAATAACAAATGAAGATGCAAATAGATAAGATAACTGGGTTGACGTAATCCAAAGTTGCATGTCCATACTGAAGAAAACGTGACCTCGATTTTGTCGCGTCGCCGCGTGTGGCGTGCAGTGTAAACAGATTCAACAGGCGCTTGGTACTGTGTATATGTACGAGCGTAGGCAAGGCAAGAAAACCCGAACACTGCACCGCACCAGGTGTTTGCAGGATGTGCAGTAGTAACTTAGTTCAGAAGCAACAGAAAACTAATTTTTCAAAATGAAAACCACGAATATTCATTCACAGTGGTCACATGTATCTGACTCTCAGACAATGGGTCGTGGTTTCGAAGACTTCTTCGAACGTGGATACATGACCGACCGCCTTCTGTGTTGTCCTGTCCCAGTCTGCCGACCGTACAAGAGATTAAGCGAAGAAGAGGTTCTACTGTATGAACAAGAGACCAATGAAAGGAATGAACACGTAAAGTGGAAACGGATAAGGAGAAACGGAAGTAGTAGGCAACGATAGGAAGCAAATGATAATGCAATAAAACCTGTGATAATGAAAGGGAAGAAACAAATTAAAACAAAAATACAAATTAATTTAGAAAATCTGTTCTAAAAGTTAGAATGTTTAAAAAAAAGGAATACATACAAAAATAACATATTATTTAACATAAATCAATTGAAACTAAAACTTGAAGTTTACAACAAAAGAATGATAATACTATCCAAAGGACTCCTTTTTAAAAAAATAGTATGTACTTATTGTACTAAATTTTATGTTAAATTCTTTCTGTTAGTAGTAAATCTTTAAAAATTTCAATTTAGTGTATAGTGTAAATAAACTTTTGTGTCTTTCTTTTTTGCACATTATTTGAGGCTTCCATAATCTAGTAAAATGCATTTCCCAACTATCCTGGATTGGGAGTCTACTGTATACACATATTTTTTTTTCATGTCCACTTTTCATTTACCACTTCTGAAACTACCAAATTCTAATATTATTCTTAGTTTTACTAGAACCGAACTTCATAGTCAACATATGAGTAAGAAAATTTACATAAAACAGGATTTAAAGAAGTATTCATAGGATTAACTGATCTACCATACAATGAAAATCTTAAGTAAAGCAATTTATTTCTCAAATCTTCGATGATGTTCTTTTGATACAACAAACAAGAAAACTTCGTATTTCCTCACTGCACATTATTAACAAATCCACAGCAAATAAAGTAATATTACTTACTTGCTGAAAGAAAATGATGCTATCTAATTTTATGTAATTATTTTCATAATTAACAAAACATATTCCTGTATTCTCACCATTACATGGCAGTCATCCATACCATCTTTTAATACTATATTACTCATAGTTTAAAGCTCACAGCCACTTAAAAGAAATTGGTATGTAATAAATAATCTAACCCAACTGCTTCAGTGCAAGGGATTGTAACAAACTTCCTCCCTTAAATAAATATGGTATTTAAGATTACATTACAAACCATTTTCAGAGCAGATGTCCATAGCGTACTGTAAAAACCCGTGTGTCATACAAATGGTTATAAATGCACACATCTATGTATGTTTTGTTGAAGAAAGAGCAACTGATACGTACAGTTTAAATTAAAAGTTTCAAAACGCTAGTGATGTATAAGATGTCGATGTTGGTCTTGTGGGACATGACATCATATGGACTTACAGACAAAGATGGAGGTACTATGTGCCTAACCACAAGTCCACATGGTGTTACAGCCATAAAACCAACATCAACACATTATTAGATAAATACACTAACCATACCAACAACTAAAAACTAAAAAATATCATGTTTGAATGATGATTTACTTTTAACAATAAGGCAAACTGTTCCCTGTGTTTAATTTTGTTAAACAATTATAAAATATAACTAGCATATCTTAGTGTTCTATTAGTTTAATTTAAGATTTACGCATACTATCCAACATTCCTATTTCTCCCTTTTCAAACTTTGACCCTTAAATTAGAACATACGGTTTGATTCTTAGCATAAAAAATCAATCCTTTAATGTGTATGAGCTGTGGAGAGATTAACTGGTTGTTCACATTTTCAGCTCAGTTATAACAGGAATAGATCTGACTCCCCATATTACACATCGCAAAATGGACTACACATAAGTTGGAAGGCATGGTTGGCAAATGTTAAAGTGCCATTCTCCCTGAATGGTAATATTACCACACTTTTACATTAAAACTATGGAAATGTCCTACTACAAACAGCAGGGCATGAGACGTCAATATTGGTCTCATGTTAGATCTCAATCGAGATTACCTATTCTAAAGAGAACAAATGCAATTCCAGGGTTTCGCAATCTTCGACTGACCAGCGTGCTAAATCTGCTTACAATTTATATTACCTCACAGTACAGACGCAAGTTTGTCGAATGATAGTGCCAAGACGAATCTGAAATGAGGTCCTGCGCGATGTTCCTAATTCTGAAAGCCATTTGCCTTAATTCTTGTCACAAGCATCGGCTGCTGAATCTGGCCTCAACAGTGGTATCTGACATGAAATTAAATTCCACTTCCTCTCACCTACATATGGAAATTATGCAAATTACAGCAAAACAGCTCACAGAAACTTCAGTGATGTCACAAACATTCAGAGCTTCATTGCTGTGTTTTATCCCATTTACGCCTGCAACATAAACTAAAAATGTCTGATATCAGCCTGCAACAAGGAATTTTTCAGACAATCCATGTACATGGAAATGTTTTAAGAGGAGAAAGAAAGTAGAATGTTTATTGTAAATTAATTCAGGGAACACAATTGCTCAGAAGTGTTACGCTAAATGTCCTCTGTAGGTGAACACTTTAGGCTGGCACATAAAGAAATGCATGATGTTTAAATGTTTAAACCATTATAAAAATAAACTAAACTATTTTAAGTAGTGTTCATCCTAAAAACTAAAACTTTTTTAAGTTTAAATACTTGATAATCTCAGTATTCCTAACCCTGAAATCCTTGGGACAGATAGTGTATTCTGATTGGTATGTACGTTGAAATTACTTCTGAAACCTGAACACGAACAACAATTCAGGTGATTATTGCAGAAGTGTGTAATATCAACAAAACTTGCTACATAAGCTTGCAGTACGTGCTCCACAACTGGGCGTCCTGTACAATTCCCTTGCCTCAAAACATGTGGACCTCCCAATCAGGTACCTAGATACCACCTGATCTATACTGAAACACTTGATATGGGTCATACTGTGTCTCTTGGGCTGCAGCAAATGGTCGTCCAGGTTGGACATCAGCACGCAAAATCACCACACCTGCACAAGATTCTTATATTAATCAAATGAAATGTAATTAGAATATACAATCAGGAAGGTCCATCACCTCAAGGGAAACTGGCCTTAGTGGGCTACCACAATGCATAAATACGAATACACTGGCTGCTAGCACCTTGATTATAAAGCAATCAGTGCGAAGATAAAATGTCAAAAACACATGTAGTGTCACAAGGTTGTGTGCATGCACACAGACACACACACATCCACAATCATAAAACATCTATAATATTCATCACCAAATCGCAAGCTTAAAAGCTGCAGCAAAAACATACAACATAGCAATATGAACAGTGGGGCCCAGGAAACATTTCAGAGGTCCTTGCTGCCTTCATCATTTCCCTGATGATGGAGGCAGCAAGGACGTCTAAATTTGCTTGTTTCTCAGCACTACAACCCTGTTGTGGGTTTTCACTGCCTCCTTTTTTGGAGGTTTCTTGGTCTTGGTTGTGTGTGAAGTAGTGAGTGACCAGCCCACTGACTCTGCACAATTTCTACTCAATCCTGATTTGACTGTCAGAGAAATGGCTGCTGAATTTTGCTTACGAAACATCTCATATCATGCTCGTAAGGTTCTTTTACATGCCGCAAATCTATGACATGGGACCGCCGGCTTTACTTCCCCTCCGAAGGAAGTTGTGCTACTGATTTTTATCACCCTTAAAAATCCGACCCGTGAACCTTGGGTCCAGTGGCAAACACACTAACCAATAGTCCACTGAGGGTGACACTTTGTAATCTATTACAATAATAAACAGTATTAGACATCACACAGTTAATGTTGCATGACATAAAACAGACTTTAGTCTTACAAGATCAATTAATACCATCTACACACTTCAGTATGAAATTATAGTCATTATTTGATTTTTAAAAATCAATGAAACGATCTATCAAGACTTATATTTAAAAATGTACTCACCAGATGGATTTACTTTCACTTTTATCTTAGTAAGTGGTGTTAAGACCCCATAGTTCACGTCTTCATACAGATCCTGTTGAATGTAAAACAAGTTAGGGTAAGACAATGTAACATGCAATCTATTCACATATTTTTCTCAACTTTTCAGTGTCCATCTCAAAATATGCTGTGTAATTTAATTGGAATCTATCAGAAGAGAAGCCATGAGTGTTTAAGTTCAGTATGACATTCTCTGCTCAGTACTACCATACAAAACAACATTTCTCTATATGCATAATATGAGGAGCATGCATGTGTAATTGTGAAGTAAACCAGATATTTTCTGATGGGTAAATATTAACATTTGCATACAGTTGCAAAAAAATACATAATGAGCTGATACAAAATCACTACACTGTAGTGCACACACCAAATGAACTGACAAGAGACAATAGCAGCATATTAGAGGATGATATCTTATGAAACAATATGTTCTTCTAACCACGACAGTGGTCAGGATGGTAAAGCCATTCACAGTTCACCAAACTGATGTCTCAGACTACAGTACATATAGAAATTCATATGCTCATGTCAGCCAGTGCAACTTTAGTGAATGAAATATTTGAAAGAAACATTGTATCTTTTGAAGATTGCTGTCTTCTAAGTTGTGCCGTGTAGTCTGGTAGATGTCCACCAACGTTTCAGAGGTCATACTGCCTCCGTCATCAGCGCAACAACCCAGAAGACAGCAATCTTCAAACTCGCCGCTGTGGAAACCTGAAATCCTACATTGTATTTTTTTTAATTTTGAAAAACCACACATGTTGCTGCTACAGGTTTTTCTCTGAAAGGGTTAATACTTACAAAAATTCTATTAAACTTTTTTAGGGATGGGGCATTACTGTTACACTAAAATTTCGTTATACCAATATTCATTATTGTAAAATATTTTTCCTTAAGGCTCTCTGGTACTTTGGCAGGGGACGAACAATATTTTCATTACAATGATTTTCATTATGTTAGTACTTTACTGTTCTGCCTGCCCACAGAAGCCATATAAAGGGACAGAATTTCTTTGTGAATAAAAGATTCCCAGACATCCTTAGTACCATACATTTCACCACAATTATGTTAGCCACCGTCTCCAACGTCCAAGGTATATTTCTTATTCGCTGTTTCAGAACTGGCAATATACCCATCCTGGGGTGACTGGTTGTCATTATACAGAAAGATATTGGTACAGTAATTAGTATACATGTTTAGAAGCCAAGGGGTCACAGGTTTGATTCTAAGTGTTGCCATTAATCTCTAAAATAAAACAATGAAAAACATCTGTCAATAAACACAGTATCTATCACTTCAAGATGAGACAAGGGTCATGTACAAAATGATCAAAAAGTCATGCTCATATTAAAATACTTATTGTTGGTTGCAATGCAATACAATTTGACTCGATTAATAAACACGCAATATCGCTATGACTAAACAAGAGAACAAACGGGTCACGTCATTTAACCTGGTTGTCCAGTTCATCAATTGTCTTTCAACAGTCAAAATCAATTACTCTTTCACAAGTACAATGGGTGTTCATTGTTGAACACTACCTGGCATCTCCTTAACTTGCTGCAATGAGTTTAGAGAAACATTTCCCCATTCTCCTGTGCAGAACAAATTGACAATATCTTGTCCAGTAAACCATTTCCACGGCACAGAAACTCTTCACCAGATTACATCAAACAAGGAAAAGACAGAATAAATTAATGTAGCACTGAATGTAGTGAATATATCCAGCACTTAATATAATTTTTTGTTTTATTATTTCAGTGTAATTTATTTTTGACAAATATAATGTGCTAGGAATTGGTTGCATGACTTCTCAATCACAATGTATATCAAGAATCTTGCAGGATCTCTGCAGCTACAAATATTTAACTCAGGATATCTTACCTCAACACTGTAGCCACCTGGGTTTGAGAGGCCCAGCTCTCTTAAAGTAACAGCAACGTCAGATGGTGTTCCATCAGTGCGGCGATTCAAGAAGGCCACGGCATATGAGAAATAATTCTGGTATACAGGTGTTATGGGTCTTGCCCATATTTCAATTCCATTATTCTGCAAGTAAGGAAACATCATTTGAATATCAAATAAAAATAATGACAAAGCAGACTGAAGATTATGGATTCCAAGAGAATATTTTATGAAAATTAAGTATTCATATGTATAAAATGAAGCTTTCGCGGCGACCGAAGTTGATAAAACTCTCTCGAGTAACAAGTCGCATCAGGTGGTTGAATGGTGAATGAACCATTTCTTCTGCCGTTTCGAGAGCAGAGATGGCTCTTGAAACGTTGGCGGAAGAAATGGTTCATTCACCATTCAGCCACCTGATGTGGCTTTTTTCCCCCGAGAGTCTTTCATCAATTTAAGTATTCGTATTTCTTAAAATTTGGAATGGACATGCAAAAAATATATAATCTCTATCCACATGTAACTTTCCTCCTGAATTCATAAATCATACCAAACCTAGAATTTCTTATTCAACACTCATAACCTCTGTAGTTGACACAATATTGTTAAATGAACAAAGAAGAGAGGAGCATGCAAGTTACCAAAACACATAAAAATTACAGTAAGACCTGGGAAGATTTTACACACTTCTATAACATGACAAAATAAATAATGAAAAAAAGGCTTATTACCACAATAATTGTAAATATTATACAAGAATATTACAACTGTCTTATTTCACAATGATATTGTTGTTCTTCTATGTGGACCCACAGGCAGATACAAATGTTTAAATGAAAGATACAGTCTTCATCTTCAGGGTTAAAGTCTCTAAAGATGGAGACAATACATTTCTTCAGAAAACTGGTACCCAACTACAGTGTTAACATTTTCAGTGCTGAGAAAACCACAGATCTCACATGTCTTATTTCTCATCACTAATCCTTTATCAGATCACACAACATTTTTGGTTGGAAAATATCAGAAAAGGCCCACATTGAAAAGAAAGGCATAGATGCAGGGATGGTTGGATGGATGCTATAGATTAAGATTTAGGTACAAAAATCATGACACACAGTTGATAAAATTTAAACTAAAACTGTGAAGAGCTCAGAGTTATACAGTGGTACAAAACTAACAAGTTCTGAAAAATATGTCAGCTTGCTTTAATACAAATGACATTCCTGAATTTTTACAGAATTATGAGGCTAAATGTCCCTGGTATCAAATAACACAAATTTTGAAGTCTCTTCATTAGAATCACAGCAAAACTACTTCTGTATGACAAAGGGGTGTTAATTCTACAACAAAAAGCCTAAGATGGAGGACCTTTCTTTCAGTACCTA